GCGGCCTTGGGCAGGACCTGGCGAGCAAGGCTTCGGGGAAGGTCAGGGGGCTCCGGGGCGCGCGGCCGAACGCTGCCCGTGGAGTCGGATGGCTGCGTCACCGCAGAGCATCCCGGCCGGAAGGGCGAGGTCTCCTGCGATAGGGGTCCCAGCGCCTTCCTCACGGGGCTACTCGGTAGGTGCCAGTTTGAGCCCCAGTTGACAGTTGACAAGCTTGAGACGCAGATGGGAAGAGACTTGTCCTGGATCCTGCACTACTAGGGAGCAAGGCTGGGGAGCCCAGATCTGGCCCCGTGCCACCCACACACTTAGGGGTGGGGCCCTTCTTCCGAGGGAGTTGCTGGAGGGTCGCACTGCCCCCTCCCCACCTCAGTTGCTGTCACCTCTATGCCACCCGGAAATCTCCCTCAACTCATCCCCAGGGAACCGCCCCATGGAAGACAGATGGAAACGCCTGAGTCCAGCTGAGGAGGAGGGGGTTCCTGAAGCCCCCCCCCCCAAGGGATATGGCTGCTCCAGTGGCCAGTCTTGCCTTTCAGATGGGCAGAGAGAGGGTGGGCATGGGAAGCTGCCTAGGACCTGGCCCCTGGGGAAGGGTTGGCGGAGGGGTGCTGATTTCAGAAACCAGGAGAGCCCACGTCCGGTTCTGAACACCCAGGTGGAGGCCCTTCTCACTGTGTTCTTCTGTGTTCCCAGCTGGTTCACGGGACGGCGGCCCGAGTACACAGACCCCAAGGTGGTGGCTCAGGGTGAAGGCCGGGAAGGTAATGCTCAGTGGCCCCAAGCACAACTCGGGCCCATAGGTTGCAGCTTGGGTAGGACTAGGTGGGTCCAATGCCCGCGAGCCTGAGTCCCAGGAAACGGGGGATTGCCAGGGGCCTGCCAGGCAGCGCAGGAGCTGGCCCCGCAGGAGCTGGCCCAGGAATCTTCCCAGATGAAGGCCTGGTTGGAGCACAGAAACTGCCATACCTGTTTGTCCCTGCTGCAGCCCCTTTACGTCCCAGCGAGGGACACAGGCCATGCACTGTGGTCCTCTTTTACACAAGAGCACCCTGAGGCCGAGATTCCCAAAGCAGCCTGGGTCTGTCTCTGCCCCAACCAGCCTGGCTGACGCTGTCTTTCTGTCTCCAGTGACCCGTGTCCGTTCTCAGGGCTTTGTCACCCTCCTCTTCAACGTGGTGACCAAGGACATGAGGAAACTGGGCTACGACACTGGGCCTGCAGACACACAGAGTGTCTCCGGGCCCAGCCCACCCCAGAGCATCCCCCAGTGACGGCATCAGCCCCTCTGCCCTCCCACTCTGACTCTAGCTGGCCAGCTGGGCAAGCAGCAGCTCTCAGATAATGAGTCTGTCTTTTGGAGTCAGCCGCTGACCCATCCACCTGAAGTGTACCTGATTGGGGGCAGGCGTAGATGGACGAAACAGTTTTATATAATAAAGTGTCATACTTTCAGAGGGCGCAGGCCTTGGGCTGACTTCTCCCCTTGAGCACCTTCCCCATGGGAGCAGGTCACTGGGGCGGGGGCTCTGCAGCCTTCCTGGCCGGGACTCCAGGGCCCTCCCTCCCTCCCCCACAGCCCTGCGGGGCTCCCCAGCCCTGTGTGGGTGGAAGCCTCAAGGAGACAGCAACACAGTATGGCCAGCTGGGACGTGATCTCTGACGTGACCCTGACTCTGCTGCTCGTGGCTGTGGCTCTTGCTGCACCTCAACACGCTCATCCTTGAGCCGGGCACGTCGCCCACTCGGAGGTTTAGGTCTTACGTCGGGCCGCTTGCTCAGTGCTTGACACAGGTCCTGCCAGCCATGCTCCATGCCCGCCAGCCTCCTTTGGCAAGAAGGGAAGGATTCTGCTAGCAGGAGCGGGGTGGTGAGGCACCCCGGGGTTAGAAGGCACTCTGCCTGCCCTCCCCTCCCCTCGAAGCCTGAGGACGGGCTGGCAGCCTCCCACAGGTGGGGTGGAAATCCAGCTTTCTGGCAAGCTCCTCAGCAGAAGAGGATGGCGAGCCCCACAGCTCAACACCCTGGCTCGAAGGTGCTCCCGGGCCCCTCTGGGAAACAAGCTCTCTCAGCACCACCCAGGGAGGCCCCGGGCTGGGCCTCCTCACCTGTTCCACATGAACACCCTGGCACATCACAAGGCAGCCTCGGATGAGTCCCTCTGCCCTGCCAGTTTTCCTGTGCAGACAAGGTACCCTGGCCTAGACACTGCCCTCAACGGGATTCAAGGGAAGCCACAGCGTGCCTGGCTGTGGGCTCCAGCAAGCCACTACCTCCCAGCCTTCAGACCACCAGCCTCACCACTACATGTTGCCCTGGGCTGCCACGGGAACCCGCCTGAGAACCTGCCCGGAGACTCTCTGAATTGACCTGCTCTCTCTTACAGCACTTCTGTGCCCTGCCCCCAACTCACTGTACATTCTGGAACTCCTGTCTCTCGTCAGCAAAATTCCAGATTCCACTGTCTTCTCCGAATAGGAAATCCCCCACCTTCTAGCCTTGCTGAAGCCGCTTCTGTCCTGCAGCCAGTCCGAGTGGTGCCTTTGTCCTCCCACCCCCTGTACTCTGGGCTAAGAGGTGTCCTTGCCCCCATTACCATTTCCAGATCCCTGTCCTGTCCTCGGAACATCCAGCTTCCTGAAGCCTAAGCTGTCAGACCGCACCACAAACACCGATGTCCCCCAGTGACTTGATGGACTACCTCGCCCGCCATCTTTTGCTCTAGCTATTCTTGGTGACATCACTGTCCGTGTGGATGGTCCTTCCAACAACTTGGCCTCTTTCTCAACCTCCTCGCTTGCGATAATGGTGACCTCCACTCCTCACAATCCCCCGCTCCACAGCTAGGTGTATTTCTTGTTACTGGTGACATTTCCTCCAGGATCTAGATCTGGCGCCCCTCCGACCACTCTCCAGGTTGTGCTCCGCTGTGGTGCCATTGTTCCCACAACTACCCTCTTCCCCTCCCCGCCAGCACTGCTGGGCTGAGGGCTCTGGGCCTTCCCTGGCCCTGCCACCCTGAGGCATGATGATGCCTTCCTGATCCAACCTGAGGACTCTCCTTAGGTATATGAGAGATGCGGTGTTCTCTAGTTTCTCACAGTGCCACTTGTGTCAGCTTCTTCAAGTGTTCTCAAGTTATGGGAAAACTACACAAAGCAAAAGCCCTGCACCCACGGGCGGTGTCAGGCCTCTGCCTTGTCCTACGGCAGCTCCTCACTGGCGTCTCTTACGATGTCCTCACCCATCCGGACTGCTCTTCCCTGTCACTGCCCTGACACTGCCAGCCAATTGCGTCCATGGTCACACCTCAAGCCGCATTTGCCTAGCCTGTTAGCAACTTGGGCATAACACACCTTGTTATGTTTAATTGTCCAGGTTTTTCCAACATCACTAAAATGTTTACACAGAGAAAAGTTGACTAATAACTTTTAGTGCACACCATATGCCCCCATTCTGCCATGGCTGCTCTCCTGTTTAGTACTTGCATCTTCACGTCCGTCCATCCAGCTATCGTTCCTGCAAACCACCCTGCCCTGACGCGTCTCAAAATCAGCAGCGAACATCAGGACTGCCTGCACGTGTTTCAGCACACTTATCACTAACTAGGGTTCAGTATTTGTCTTTCCTTGGTCTTTTTTTCCCCTGAGAGGACATTTACTTACAATGAAATGCATAACTTTTTGTTTTGTTTTTTGTTTTTGTTTTTGTTTCTGAGTTGGAGTCTCACTCTGTCACCCAGACTGGAGTGCAGTGGCTGCTCCCGGCCACCGCAGCCTCCACCTGCTGGGCTCCGGCGATCCTTCCGCCTCAACCTTCCAAGTAGCTGGAATTACAGGCATGCACTACCATGCCTGGCTGATTTTTTTTTTTTTTTTGATTTATTGTAGAGATGAGGTCTCGCTGCCCAGGCAGGTCTCGAACCCGCGGGCTCAGGCAATCCACTCACCTCAGCCTCCCAAAGGCAGGGGATTACAGGCTGAGCAACCGAGCCCAGCTATTTTTATTTTTTAAGAGTCTCACTCTGTCACTCAGGCTGGAGTGCAGTTGCACACTCATGGCTACCCCAGTGTCGACCCGCTGGCCTCCCGTGATCCTTCCGCCTCAGCCTTCCAAGTAGCTGGAACTACAGGTGTGCGCTACCACGCCCGGCTAACTGTTTGATCTATTGTAAAGATGAGGTCTCACCAAGTTGCCCAGGCGGGTCTCAAACCCATGGGTTAAGGCAATCCTCTCACTTGGCCCCCTAAAATGCTGGGATTACAGTCTTGAGCCACTGCACCCAGTTGAAATGCCTAACTCTTAAGTGTACTGCATAGTGGGTTTCAACAAATGCACACCCCAGCCCTGAAGGCACAGAATGTCACTGTCCTCTCAGAAAGTTCCTCTCGCCCTGCCCGAGACTGATGCACTGAGGCGCTTTGGAGGCTGAAGGCACACGCGCCTGGGGAGCGGGACCATGAGACAGTCGGGGCACCCGGCCCCTAGGGCCACCCTCACTTGCAGTCCTCCCCTGTCACAAATGCTGTGTGTTCACAGAAGACTCCACTTCCCAGGCTTCTCATATCTGGGCGGGTCCGTGTGAGCAGTTCTGACTAAAGAGATGTGGGCTGAAGGATGTTCACCACTGAGTTGTGACTCATGTCAGCCTGCCAGGAGCCATGCTCCCTGTTCTGGCCCAGGCACCCTTCGAGGCCTGAGCTGGACCGCAGCATCGGAAGGGAAGAGCCTGGGTCCTAGCATCCCAGCTTGGAGAGAGCTGCAGGAGCACCACCCTCCGGCTCTTTGTGAGGAATACACTTGTATCGTGCTCAGCCGAGGAGAGTTTGGGGTCCTTTATTCCTGCATAGCCTCTTCTAACAGATATGGAAATTGATATCAAAGGTGGATTTCTGCTCTAACCAAAAAATAAAAGCACATGAATATGGCTTTGCAGCTGTGCAGCAGGCAGCAAGTATACAGATCCTAGGCCAGACAGCAGGAGAGCTGCGTTATGCCAGTGCAAGACATGAGCTGCGACCCTCCGTGCTACCTCGGGAGGCGGGTTGCACCCACCACACCAACAGCACTAGGCAAAAGGGATAGCCAGGAGTGCAAAGTTGGCTACTGCCAACGGCATTTCAGAAAGCTATCCTAGCAAAGAGAGGAGCTCACGAAAAAACTGGCAGTTTAAACACAAAAGGGGGGCCGGGCACAGTGGTTCAAGCCTGCGATCCCAGCACTTTGGGAGGCTGAGGTGAGAGGACTGGGCAGCTTGGTGCGACCTCGTCTCTGCAAGAAACCAAAAAATAAGCCGGGCGTGGTGACACGTGTCTGTGGTTCCAGCCACTTGGAAGGCTGAGGCGGAAGGATCATCTAAGCCCAGCAGGTAGAGGCTGCAGTGGCCGAATGTGCCACTGCATGGCAGCCCAGGTGACAGAGTGAGAATCCAACTCAAAAAAAAAAAGGGAACAAAGAGAATCTAAGAAGTTTCAGCGTTAAAAGGAAAAAGACTTTCTAGAATTCAAATGGGGAGATTGAAAATTACTTTGAACAGCATTTGAGTAATTCAGCATTTTGGTAAATACAGAATGGCATTGTGGTAGCTGCCATTCAGTTGAGAGAAGTCTGGGGCAAGGCAAGGAAATAAGGCAGGTTCATGTCTAGGGAAGAACTGTGAGTGTGTGCCTCAGTTATCTACTGCTGTGTAGCACATCACCCCAAAACTTTGTAGTTTAAGACAATCACTGTTTATTACCACTCCTGATTCTCTAGGTGACCAGACTCAGCTGGGCGGTTTGCTCCAGCGCCACTGGCTGGGGCTGCTCCACTGAGCTAGCTGACTGGAGCTCAGCTGGGGCTACTGACCACAGCACCTCAGTTCTTCCCATATGGCCTCCCCGTGTGTTTGGCTTTCTCACCTCAGGACAGCGGGGGTGCCAGCAGAACACACCAAGAGGCCACAACCCACATGCAGGTGTTTGTCAAGCTCCTGCTGGCATCATGCCTGCTGATGACCCCCCGATGCCTGCTGATGGCCAAGCCCAGGGTTGGCAGGGGGCCCACACTGGGGCCACCACAGTAACACTTTGACCAAAATAATGCAGTTATTCGTACGTACACGGAAGTGATCAGAAGAGACCAAAAGACTGCCAAGCTTTTGAGGGAATTGTGCTTCCAGAGAACCCATGAGCCTGGCCCAACCCTAAGACCCACTTACATCAGGCCTGGAGCCGTCCACATGCTGTTGCAGGCCAGAAAGCTGAGCTGCCCCAAGAGCTGCAGCCAACTAAGGCCGGGCTGCCTCCAGAAGGCAGAGCCCGGGGCAGGTCCTTCCCCCTTTGGGGAAGGGCCCCCTCAGTCTGTGCTGCAGGGCCCAGCCTGGCATCGCCCACTCTGCTCTTCCAATGCATCTTGATGGGTTGCTCACCCAGGCTCCACTAGCGGTTGTTATTGTTAGGGCAGGGGCACAGGTGTCTTTCTAGTTTATAGGCGAGATGTGCCTTGCACCCTGCAGAGACCATGGACTTTGACCTCGGTGCAGACACAGATGGGACTTTACAGTCCACGTGTGGGAAGAGGAGTGAAAGAACTATTTGGTGACCGGAAGGCCAGCTGTGACACTGACTGGCAATGTCTTTACCAAGCCATTTCCTGTCCCCTGGCCACACAGGAAATCTACACTTCCTCATTCCCCCAAATCCGGATGGGGCCATGGACCTCATTCTGGGGTTGGAGCACATGTAGCAGCACTGCCAGCCTGGTCCTCCTCCGCCGCCCCTCGCGACAGCATTCAGGGCTGTCTGTCGTAGACGGCAGTGTCTCAAGGTGGAAGCAGCTTGCATTCCTGAGTCACCAATTTGTGCGACGCCACGGAGACAAGGAGTTGCAGCGTAGCCTGGCACACCCCCCCACCCCTCTCCCTCTTCTGTCACCTGCGCTGAACGGGTCACCCTGGCCTCCCAGGTTCCCTGCTAGAGTTGAGCTTGTCGGCTCGTCCTGAGTGGACACTGGGAGCCAGGTGCTCGCACACAAAGCTCCTAGTTGCAAGGCAGTGTGGGGCAGCACAGGCTGGGGCTGCAGCCTCTCTCCGGGTCTGTCTCACTGTTACATTTCCCTCCCTCGGCCTTGTGTCCTCCTCCAACTCACCGAACGCCTCTTCCACTCTGTCACCTGGAAATGTATGTGTCCTCCAGCCAATGCTCTCCTCTGCTCAGAGGCTCTGAGGGATCGGCCCTCTGGACCTGTCAGCTGGTGCCACAATGAAGATGCACAGCAAGCTGGCTCCAACAGCTGTTTCCTCCCAGGATCTTCTCCACTTGCTTCCTCTGGGGCCCCAGCTGGCCGGGTGGCAGCTTTCCCGTGGCATGAGTGTGAGAGAGGCAGAGTATAGGAGGCCTCTGGGCACCCGGCATCCAAAGCAGCCTCCACCCATGACAAGGCCACAGAAAGAGGTAGATGCAGGAAGGGTAAAGGCCTGTGGCCAGCACTTGTCCAGCACAGACCACCCGTCATGGTGTCCTGCCAAAAGCAGGCCTCCCACTCCCTTTCTTGAGGCTCAGGGGTACTGAGCTCCTGGCTCACACGCACACTAGGACCAGGCTGGCAGCCTCATTATTGGCAAGTCAAGCTGGCTCCCAGGCAGAAACCAGCTCCCTCGTCTGCCCACCCCACTCCTGCGGCACAGGACTGATAAAGATCGGGTAGGGGAAGGACACAGCCAGAAACCACATCATGATACAAATGATAAATTATATTTATACAGTAAATAAGTGTCAACAGTCAACATAATTTCAAAACCAGCCACTGGCCCCTGGGACTGAGGAAAAGCTGAGTGACTTCTCCTACCATGGTGCCCACCAGGAGGGAGCACAGATGGCACGTGTGCAGCACCCGTGGCAGCGGCCAGTGGCTTCATGATCAGTGCAGCAGGCAGCAGGGACAACGTGCACTCGGGATGGCCTATACCAGGAGATGGGGTGGAGGGCTGTCTTCTTGGGCCCTGGTGGCCCAGTGGCAGTCATGCTGGGGCCTCAAAGTCATATCAGGAAAGACTTGTCTATTAGAAAAGCATCACTGACCCCAAGTAGTCGAGTCTGGTCTATTGACCTAGAAGGCAGGTCCAGGCCCCACACTATTTGAGGGAAAGCACCTTCCTGGGCCAGCGTCCTGCTGCCATGGCCCACCGTGTCTCTTCCATGCCCCCTGCTCCCCCAGCCCCCAGCCCTCCTGCGTGGCAGTGGGAGCCTGAGGCCCAGCCCCAGGCCTACAGTCTGGTGGAAGGGTGGCTGGAGAGGACGGCCTCAGGAACAGTGTGGGGGTGGGCAGTCCTCACTCAGAGCCCACACATCCTTCCGGCAGCCCAGAGGCCACTTAACATCTCTCCTGTGCCAGTGCTAATGGTCAGATTTCCCTCTGGAACCAGAGAGGGGCTGGCCGGTGGTCGGCTGCCCTTGGAGCAGGGTGAGGAGTCCCAATGGTGGAAAGCAGGCCAGAAATGCCCACCAGGCAAGCTGCCTGGACACAGGATGAGGGGACTGTCCCTTCCCTGGGGAGAATCAAGTCTTCTCTGGTCTTTAATGCGTGACATAATACTCTTATAATGGGTATGGAGAGGGCAGCAGGAGGCTGGGAGAGGGAGGTGACATTAGTGCATGTTTGTTAAAAATCTATCCCGTGTGAGAATGAGTCTTTTCTTCACCTCCAAAATAAGAGAGGATTATTTTTGTATCTGCAACTTAAAAATAGTGTCTGGAGTTAGCAGGTAGGTGGGTCAGGGCCAGCCCTGGTCCCTCACCCGTCTCAGGCTGGGGACTATCCCCCAGGGACCAGTGGGCACAGAAGCATCCCCTGCCCTCAGGACAACTGCCATTTCCACATCATCCCCATCTTCACCTGAGCATGGGTTAAGACAGAAGAGATCACAGACACACAGGGTTAGACATTTCTTCCATGTCAGATTTCCATTGTAAACAGGAGTCCTTGTTAATCCCTGCATGCCTTTAACTTTCAGAAGGAATTAGTTGATAAAAACTGGTGAGTCACATTCATACATTAGATTTTTTTCTTTAACTTTCAAGATGTTGGTATATAAGTAAGAAAAATAGCCTCTCTCAGGATCTAGCCAAAAAGGCTGAAAGCAATTCGTTTAGTAATTCACCAAAAAGGGAGTTAAAGAAAGGAAAAGGCAACTGGAGGCTAGGATTTTCTGTTGCTGTTGTGTGTGTGTTTTTAAATAAACATCATCTTTTCTGTGTAATCAAATTTCCATATTTTTTTCTATAAAGAATTTGCTTTAGTTTTTCCATAAGGCATTTTTTTTTTGTAATCCAAACATCTCTTCCTTTTAAAATTTTCTTACAGAGTTAAAACCATAAATAAGAGGATTTAAACCACTATAATGACATGTGCCAATATCTTAATTCAGCCAGACCTGGTAAATTCTATCAAAACTAGACAGTTAAATAAGAACCACGTTATAAAAATATTAGCCAAAAAAAGACTATTAGATAATTCTGCAAACTCAAATATGAAACTGTACTAAACAAAATATGTGCAAACGTATACAAGCATAGAGCCACGTGGCAGGGTTATGCTCAGATTAGTTTTAAAGCTCGCTCTAGTGGATTTAATTCAAGAGTTGTCCATGGTGGTGGTGTTTACTTTGAACTCACACACGAGTCAAAGAAAAATAAAATATGCACAACCGCTTCCCCAAAAGGTCAGTGTCTCGTGGAGCTGGTGCCTCCTGGAGTCTGCACCTGGGACTGCCTGGGATGTCCCCAGGGCTGGGGGGTGAAGGGGCAACGACGAGGCGACCAGCCCAAGTCCTGAGCCAGGCAACGTTCCGGAGCCCCTTGGACCAGGCGGAGCAAGGGCAACACTGACGACTCTGCCTCCTCACCCAAGGCTTCGGAGGAGCCTGCCGGGACTGAGCGCTAGAGGGGAGGCAGCGAGGGGCCAGGCTGGGTCGGGCGGCCAGGCCTCCTTGGAAGGCGGGCACACCCCGAGTGCTGCCGAGGGTCAGGGCTGTCAAGATAACCCTGGTATCAGGAAGCTGAGACTGAAAAGCCCTCACACCCCCCCCCCAACTCTCAGACCCCGTCCCACGGGTGAGAGTCCCTGCCCGGCGTCCTCTGGGCACTCGCTCTGGGGTGGATCCCAGCCCAGGTACTAGAGAAGGAAAGGGTTGGTTGTGCCAGTGGCCTGAGCTGCCGATGGAGGGATGCCCACACTGCCCACCATGTTCACTGTCGTGGGGCCTAGTGGTGTCAAAGAGGAACCGCCAGACCCCAGAGCTGGGTGTGAGGCCGTGGAGGTCATGGAGGCCACAGCCATGGGTTCCACCCCCGGGCCAGACCCGAAGGACGTGCTGGTCCCCAGGACTGGGCTTCCCCGCAGCTGGTTGAGCGTCAGTGGCTGGGGCTGGTTCACCTGGAAGGGGTTGACAGGGGTCGAGGTGGCAGCTGCACCTGGGGAGAGAGCAGGAGGGGCAGAGGCTGAGCCAGCAGGACGGCACCCGGACCCTCCAGGAAACAGGACCATAGCCACCTCCTCAGCGACCGCAGTTATTCTGGTCCCTGCTGCGCCCTCAGAGCCCACAACAGTGCCAGTCCCATTCACAGGAGACGCTAGCAAACATCTGCCAATTGCATGAATCTCCACTTTGAGGATAAGACTGAGTCTGTGAGAAGCCAAGTGACGGTCTAGAGTCACAAAGCTGAACAAGGCAGTGCCAGCTCTGTGGCCACAGGTGCCTGAAACAGAGGGAGATGCAGGACTCACAGCGTGGGGCTTGCGTGGCGGTGTCCACACTGCACCAGGAGCCACACACTGCACTGTGAAGGCTGGGAGAAGTCCTGCAGTCACGTGGACGCAGCCCTGCCTTCCCCAGCATCTCCAGAATTTATCTCATGCCGGAAAGCCTCTTCCTCCTTCTACCAACACATCTATTGATTCTCTGCCCAAAAGTGTGGGCGCTGCTGGCACCAAGTCTCATGCAGCCCAGCCCTGCCCACCAAGGGGCAGCCCCAAAAGTCACTGCGCAGGGACGGCATTGTCATGTTCTGAACCACACTGGGAGAGGCAGGCTCCACCTCCCCAGGGCTCGCCATGGGCCAGGCCCAGCTGAGACACACAAAAACCTTGCACCAGCCCCTCGTCCCCTTAGGGGTGGGCTCCACATATCAGCCCCAGTTACGGCTGAGGAAACAGAACACAGAGCAGCACAGTGACTTGTTCGAGGTCTCCAGTCAGGAAGGGACAGAACCAGAACTGCGCCTGTGGTCCACAGTCCAGGGCCATCTGTGTGGCCTGGAGAATGGTCCTGGAGGCCCAACAGGGCTGCCCAGTCCCTCTCCATCTTGACTGCGGCCCCCAAGGACTGCGACCAGTCTGTAGCCAGCAACGCTGCCCCCAGGTGCTCACCAAGAGCTGATAGAGGCAGGAGCGGGCCTAGCCGGGGGACCTGGGAGCAACTCCAGCTCTGCCCAGGGGGCCACTGCCCCCTGGGGGGCAACCACATCCTCGCACATCTCAGGGCTGGCCAGGTCCCAAGAACTCCACACCCGCCTTGGCCCGAGGGCCCCCACCTCCAGCCCCCCAAGCCTCACAGTCATTCTCCCCTGCAAGGTCCTGGTGGGGCAGTGGCCTCGGATCCTCAGATCCCCAGCACAACCAGGTCAGAAGCTGAACCCCTGGAAGGGGACACATTCCTGCCCTGGGGGGGCCCAGGGCTTTGGGGAAGCCTATGATGAAGGGGGGAGGGAGGGCTTCCTAGAAGAAGGTCGTCTTGAGTTTGATGTCAAAGGATGAGTAAGCTGTTTTCACAGGAAAAGAGGAGGAGGGACATCCAGGCAAGGGGAACGGTGAGTGACACTTGGGCTTACAGAAGGGTCTGCACATCTGAGAGACAGCAAGGAGCTTGGTGTCCTGAGGGTTTAATGCACACAGAGAGGGAAGAGGAGAGTGGAGCCGGGCCACAATGGCCCTGGATACCCAATCATGCGACTGGTGGCTTGTTCTACAGCAACGGAGAGCCCTGAAGGGGACAGGGCAGACTCCAGCACCAGGGGCAGAGGCGAGGGGTCTCGGATCACTGGAGGATAGTTCATGCCAAAGGGCCACGTTACATTTTCCCTCAAAAAGGGGGATGGCTAGGCACCCCAAGCAGCCTGCTCTCCTCTACCTAACCCAGAACTGGCTCCTTTGATGGTCTTCCTGCTGGGGGCACCGAGTCAGAGAAGCGTCTGCTGAGTGTCTCAGCTGAGGTGGGGGTGGGGGGCTGTCTCCTACTCATACTCTTCCCCACTTCATCTGAACAATGGCTTCCATGCCCCAGCCCATGCAGCCCTGGGGAGAATGGCAGCACTGGTCCTGGAGCTCTTGGCTGGCCTCACTCCTTCCAGCCACGCTGGTACATGGGACACAGTGGGAAGAGCCCTGCCACACACCCCTTCTGAAGCAGAACAAGCAGTTGGAGGGAGCCTGGGACGCGAGCCTACCTGGTGCCAGGAAAGGGTTGAGGGACTGGGCAGGCGGGGCGGGCCTGGTCACCAGCGAGTCCAGGTTCACCAGGGCCGCATTGGGGCCCAGGAAGGACTCGGGTGTTTTCCGGGCACTGCTGGGCTTGCTCGAGATGATGGTCGTGGGTTGAGACTCGAAGGGGTCAGGGCTTGTAGTTCCGTTGTTTTGGGATGGCAGGGAGGCCACAGACTCAGCTACAAGACAAGGACACCATGGGCATGGTGAGTGTGGGGGCACAGCCTGAGACCATGCATCTAACACAAAACCCAGACTCCCTAGGGACACACGTGTCTATGTACAAGATGGCGTGTTCACTGCAGTGTTGTTTCCAACAGCCATGTGGAGACACACAGCCAGCCATGAGGCGGGGTAGATAAACCACGTGTCTACACAACAAAACATCAAAATGCAGCAACAGAGAATACTTCATGATGAGCAGAGAAAGCTGTGCTGAAATTCTAAGTGAAAAAAGCAAGTTACAAAACAGTGTGGATAGCACTCCATAAACATGAAGAGGTAATTTTGGGTTGGTGGCTAGACATGGGTAATTTACTTTTTTTTTTTACATTTTAAAATGTTTTAAGATGAACATGAATTTCTTAATAGTAAGAAGAAAGCAAATTGTGTGTCTTGTAAAATGCAGCCAATAGTGTGTGCTGAGATAGGCCGGTGGGAATGTGATTGCTCTGCTGGAATGCACTGTGGCCGTGCATACAGGGATTCTCAAGTCATGCTCTCACTCAGCAATCTCATTTCTAGGAATCCAGTCCAAGGAAATAATGCCAAGTGTGAACAAGGATATAAGCACAAAGATGTTCACAACAGCATTATTTACTGTAGCAAAACTTGAAATCAACCTAAAATGTCCTCCCCCAAATTAATGAATAATTATTGCTAAGCCATAAAAAGAGGTATAACAACATATTTTGTAATGAATTTTAAAGTCACAAGAAAATATCTTCAATCTGTTAATCCATAAAAGTTCGGGCAGGGGGCAGGACTCAACTCTGACAGTACGAGTTGAACAAAAAAAGACTATAAAAGCTCAGAAAAAAATACTATAAGGAAGTGGCTGAGTGGATTATAGGTGATTTTCATTTTCTTTCATAAACTTTTCCAAATGTTCTACAGTTTGGAAATTCCAAATTGTACAATTTCAAATTTTCTCCAACAGCAATAATTCTATAACTGGGGAAAAGTATTTTAAAAGTCAGCACGTAACAATGGCCAAGCTGCCTTCTCACTGAGGCACTGAGGGGAGGCAAGGACAGGTTAGGTTGTACTTTGGCCTGCAGAGGAGACACGTGGAATCTTATTGTTTTTCAATGCAGCAAAATGAAGCCCCTGAAAAGCAGCACATTCTCAAAGATGCCTCTGATCTCCTGGCTGGGAGCCCCTGAGCCGAGAGAGAGTTGAGGGAGTCAGGGGTGCCAGGCTGCTCATACCTTAGACCAAGGCCCACCAGGCCTGTGGCTGCAGCTGGGGGGCTAAAAGAGGAGGCGGGGGAGGGTGAGAAGGAGGGGGTGGCAGGGAAATGGGGAGGGCAAGGGGCAGAAGCCGAGAGAGGAAAAGAAAAAAGAGAGAAGTTGCTGTGCCTGGCTGGGAGGTGTGGCCCCAAGATGGGCACCGGCGACCTGGTTCTGCCCCCAGCCCCATAGGGTGTGTGGAGAAAGCATCCTAGGCCTTCTCCCACTGCCCCTCCAGGCCCATGTCGGCTCCCAGGCCCAGGCCCCTTCTCTCTGTGCCCACCTGATACCCTCCCAGCTCAAGGGCACAAGAGGGAGGAAGCTGGGTCTGAAGACGAAACTGTGGCCTCCTGGGCAGAAGCCACCACCTGGCCACGTGGGGGACAATGGCACAGGGCAGAGACCAGCCCCACGGATGCCCAAGGACAGGCTGCCTGGGCAAAGGAAGCACCTCCAGGGCGTGGGAAGGAGGCAAGGAAACCTGGATCGGGCTGGGGAGGCAGGGCCATGCCACCTGCAGGCAGTCACGGGCCTGCCTGACCTGGAGCCACAAAACACAGGGCAAAAGGCTGAAAAAAAAACTCAACCTCATGATTTTTTACTGTCGATGTATAAATTCCTAAAATTAGGAGCTTCAGGCTCCCAAGACCAAAATGTAAAGAAATGCATGAAGCTGATGGGTTTTGAAAGCTGGTTATTATTTCTGCAATGACTGAGCCAGTCAAATGCACAGAATATTATGGAAAGCACCACCAGCTTTACATACCTGTTTTTTTTGAAGTCCGGAGGTTGTCAAATTCAGCAAAGTCATCTTTAATTGTACCATTCAAATTATTGAAGAGCTCAAAGGACCCTGGATGGACACAAAGGCCAGTGACCGTGGGCACATCTTGCGACTTCCTGGCCATTCAGCTGCCGAGTGCACACCCTGGGGGTAGGCTGACAACGGGGGCTTCTCCCCAGCCACCCCCCTCATGGGGGAGAACTCTGAGAGCCAAAGAGGGCAGGACGGGCTTGGGTTGCCGGGCAGGGAGCACAGTCTCCCAGCGCAGGGTGTGAGGCTCCCCTGCCGCCGCTGCTGCCGCCCACACCCACCAGAAGCAGGTGCTGGTGAATGTGGAGGTACATGGAGCTGGGCCTGAATGGTGGATGTGGATCTGCAGAAGGTACCTGGAGGGCCCAGGTGTGGACAGGCCCCATGGGCTGTGAGCCTAGAGCAGCATCCTCTCTCTGCACCAACTAGGGAAGCTCCTTTGGGAGGGAGGGGAGTAGACAAAGCTCACCACTCACACTTAGTGCTAGGAATCTCGGGTCAGGGACAAAGGCTAAGGTGCAGGAGGCAAAGCAACAGGCCCGATGCCAAGAAGCCAGGAAAGGCTGCAGGTCCCGTGGGCTCTCAGGCAGGAAAGCAAGTGGGTGAGGGTCTCACCAGAGGCGGACACAGGCTTGGTGGCTGAGACTGCACCCCAGGCATCAGTTGTTTTCCCCGCACTGGGGGCAGGCTGCTGCGAAGGTGCCCAGGGGTCTGAGCTCTTGGGGACAGACTGTGAGCTGGCTCCAGTGGGCATCCCCCATGGGTCAACAGAGGCAGCTGGCTTGGCACCTGTAGGAAGGCGGGGTCAGGACTCAGAAACACCCTCAGAAGGTTGGGCAGCTGGTGCGAGAAAGGAAAGGATATCGCAGGCCACACCAGGGTCCGTGCCCTGTGCCAGGTGAGGCAGCCATCTGAAGGCTGCTACCCCACACCAGCAGCATGGGATGGAGCTGGAACCCAGGGCCAATGACCCTGGTAGGGGAGAATGCTGGGCCAGGATAGGCCAGGACAGCCCAGGACAGACTCTCTGGTGAGGACCAGAGAACAAAGAGCTGACAGAGGCCCTCTCCAAGCTCCTTGCCACCCAGAGGACTTACAAAGGGCTCCCTGAGCTAAACCCCACTCCAATGGACTAGCTGAAACAAGCCCATCTTCTCACAGATCCCAGATTTCCCCTTCAGACAAGGAGCCCAGGCAGCCCGCCCTGGTTCTCCAGAGGCACCAAGGTGTCCTCTCTCCTCTTGCTTTGAGTGGTTTCTGCTTTCTGCCAGAGTGTGAAGGAAAGATGAGTTCTGTATAAAAAGGAATGATAAACCAAGAGCGATGGACTTACCACTCAGCAATAAAATATTTTCAAACCATGAGGGTCACCAGTGACTTTTAAAAAATAACTACACTGAAAATCCTTAAGTGCATCTAATGCTAAGTGTCACTCCTGTTGTGTAAATCTTTATTTCCTTTCAGTCATGTGTAGATACACACATACCTGTGTGCATATGTGTACATATACAATGCAACATCTCCTTTCTTCTGTGGATACCACAGCCACTGTTCCAACCCTACTGCTTTTCTCTGATGACTAGTGAGGCTGAGCATCTTTTCATGTCTCTGTTGGCTGCTCGTGTGTCTTCTTCTGAGAAATATCTATTCATGTGTTTTGCCCACTTTTTAATAGGGTTATTTGTTTCTCTTCTTTCAGCTTGCTTGAGTTCCTTATAGATCCTAGATGTTAGGCCTTTGTCAGATATACAATTAGCAAATACTTTTTTCCCCCATCTGTGGGCTCTCTTGATGGTTTATTTTGCTGTGCAAAAGCTTTTCAGTTTGATGAGGTCCCATTTGTCTACCTTATCTCTTATGGCATACCTTACCCCAGTAACGATGGCTATCACTAATAAATTTTAAAAAATAGATGCTGGCACGGGTGCAGAGAAAACGGGACACTTCTACCCTGTTGGTGGGAGCGCAAACCCTGGAAAATAGTGTGGTGATATCTACAGGAACTAGGAAGTGACCTTCCATACAACCCAGCAATTCCCTTCCTAGGAATATACCCGGAGGAACACAAATCGTTCTACAAAAAAGACACCTGCACACGCATATTTACTGCCACACTATTCACAATAGCAAAAACATGGAACCAACCCTCATGCTCATTGAAAGTAGACAGGATAAAGAAAATGTGGTACATATACACAATGGAATATTATGCAGCCATAAAGAAGGACAAAATCATGGCATTTCCAGCGAATTGGATGGAAGTGGAAGCAATCAGTCTTAGCCATCTATCACAGAAACAAAGAACTGAATACCACATGTTCTCACTCATAAGTGGGATCTGAACATTAATCACAAAAACACAAGGGAGGGAACAACAGTCATGGGACACTGCCAGGGGTGGGAGGAAGAGGGGGGCATGTAACAGCACAAAGCATACCTGACCTTAAATCAGGGGAAATGAGGGCCAGTTGGAGGCCCAAACTTCACCTGCGCATACATTACTTATTTACCTAATCCTAACTCATACCCCACATCTTTATAATAAAATGAAGTAAAAACAGCAAACAAACAAAAAACCCACTGCTGCCTCTCTGGAACCAGAGAGTGCTTCCCCTGTGACAACCCCACCCCAGCCACCATGAACTCTGTGTCAGCCTTCCTCTTGCTTTTCCTCTTCGTGTATGATGGAGGGATACCTTTAAACAACACGCTGATTAGTGGTGCCTATTTTCTGAACGTCATATAAATAAAAGTATTCTTTTGTGACTGGCTTTGCTCATTCTACATTTTAAGAGATTCACGTATTGAGATGTAGCTGAAATGTGCTCATTTTACAGCTATATAGTATTCCATTCCATATATAACAATTGGCTCCTCTTTTGAAGGACACTAGTTTGCTTTGGCTGCTTCTTCCTGTTCACATTCCCTGGAGCACATGGATACACACGTACACACAAGTCACCAGGTCCCAGGTACCTTCACCTACACCAAATAATATCAAAAGCATTTCCACATGGTCACCAATCACATTCCCTCCAGCAGTGGGTGCCACACCTGCTGCACCAGGAGTCCCTCACAACCTCTCTGATGCTCAGTATTATCTTATTCTCCTATCTGTGCCAATCTGGTGGGTATGAAAGTTATGTTACTGTGACTTTGACTTGCATTTCTTTGTTCTTTAATGAGATTGTGCATCTTTTTATATATTCATGGGTCACTCATGATTCCCTTCCTGTAAGATAGATGCCTGTTAACTCTTTTATCCACCTTCCTTCAGGGTTACCCTTTTCTCATTGACAAACCCCAGCAGCAAGGATCAAAGAGGCCACTCGCTCCCCACTGCACAGTACGCAATGCCTACTCTGTCAAAAGTCTCCATGGGCTTATTACTGGGCTTCCTACTCTACTGCATTGGCCCATTTATCCATTTCTGCCCCTGGACATTCTGAGTCGCCCTCACAGATATTACAATATGATAATTTCTGGTCTCTGGTACAGTAAATTCCAACCTTCTTCTAACTATTCTTGGTCCTTGGCTCTTCCACATTCAGCCTAAAATCATCTTGTCAATATAAAAAAGTAAAAACTAAAACTAAAACATTGAAAGTTTTTTGGGATTTAGACCAGAATTTCAGAGTCCTAGATCCAATTGGGGAGAGGAGTTGTCATTTTATAATGATGATAGAATGATTGCTATTATTAGCAAGTTTTCAGACCCAAAATCACATGATCTCTGCACTTACGTAAGTCTTCTTTATCTCCCAGTGAAATTTTGTCATTTATCTACATGAGAGATTTGTGAAACCTTTGTAAGAATTATTCTGATGAGCTCAGTATTATTCCTAGGAACTGGCACCTATTTAAGATTTCGTAATCTATTTACTGTTATGCAGAAACACAATTTAACTTTGTATACTGTTTTTGTATCTAGCAATCTTTCTAAACTCCCAATTCTAATAATTAAAAGTTATTCTAATGATTGATTCTAATAATTATAATTCTTAATTCTAATAATTTATCTGTAGAAATTTTGATAGCTTGTGCACGTGATCATATCACCTGCAAATAATGGCAATTTAATGTCTTTGTAGTCCTTTATATTTTTTCTTGTCTTACTGCACTGGCTAGGACCATCAATTACAACATAAAGCAGATGTGCTGATAGTCAAAATCCTTGTCTTGCTCTTATCTTATAGGATCAGTTTTCAATATTTTACCATTAAGTATCATGTTAGCCATAAAGTTTTTTCCTTTTAGAAGTCCTTTATCAGGTTGTGAAAGTTCTCCATTATTCCAAGTTCACTAAGAATTTTGCAATAAACAAATGGCTAATTAATTTTATCAGATGATTTCTGTCTCATTTAACATGATCGCATCAGTTTTCTTTCAATTTGTTAATATGGTACATTAATAAATTTTCTAATGACTTGGTCCTTGCAAACAAAGTTTTGATTATTTTTTTGAATCAGAGTCTCACTCTGTCACCCAAGCTGGAGTACAGTGGCAGGCTCATAGCTACCGCAGCCTCAATCTACTGGGCTTGAATCCTTTTGACTCAACCTTCCAAGTAGCTGGGAAGACAGGCACACACCACCACACCCAACGAATTATGTTTTTTTTTTGAGACGAGGTCTTGCTATGTCACCAAGGCTACAAACAAAGTTTTTCATGAGGTAATATATTTTTTAAAATATTTTCAGCCAGGCTCGGTGGCTCAGCCTATAATCCCGCACCTTGGGAGGCTGAAGTGAGTGGATTGCCTGAGCCCGTGGGTTCGAGACCCGCCTGGGCAACTTGGTGAGACCTCATCTCTACAGTAAATCAAAAAATTAACCGGGCGTGGTAGTGCGCACCTGTAGTTCCAGCTACTTGGAAGGCTGAGGCGGAAAGATCGCCAGAGCCCAGCAGGTCGAGGCTGCAGTGGCCGGGAGTGGCCACTGCACTCCAGTCTGGACGACAGAGTGAGACTCCAACTCAAAAAAAAAATATTTTCCTCGTTTAACAATTGTTTATTTCCTTAAGATTTTTGCATCTATATTCAAAAGTGAGTCTGGCCTGAAATGTTTGTTCTCACACTGTCTTTGTCTGGTGTTGGTGTTACGGTTATTATGCTAGTCTCACAAAATGAGTAGAAACATTCCTTATTTTCCTCTTCTCTGAAGGAGTTTGTATAAAAGTGGAACTGTTTCTTGAATGTTGTTAGTACTTGCCAATAAAGTTCTCTGGGTGGGTTTGAGGAAGGAGAGGACTTCCAAGTCCTGATTCCATTTCTTCCGTGATTACAGGACTATTCCTATTTATAGGCTTTCCATTATTCTTCAGTAAGCTTTGCTAAATTTTCTTTATTTTTTTTTTTTTTTTTTTTTTTTTTTTGGCTTTGCACTGGTTTTTGTGTTTCTTACAAAAAGAAAAAGGAACAGAATAAATAGTGACCGTGACAAAAGGTGATCTTGACTTGGGGCAGACAGGGTCAGGGCGGAAGCTTGGCTAGAGGGTGCTGGGTGTCACTGCGGGGGCTGGAGGACGCAGCAGTGCAGGTCCCCCGGAGCGCAGAGAGCTGGGCCCACCCCCGGCCTCCCTCGCTGGCCCGAAGCTCCCTCTGTCCCCACCCTTCCCCACCTGCTGCC